TGTGTGTGTGTGTGTGTGTGTATGTATACATGTGTATGACTAGGTATGAGAGTTCAATAGATAAAACAAGATTGCCACAATGCTGATAATTACTGAAGCCAGATGATTTGTATACGGGGAGCTCACTATACTCTTCTAGTATATGTGGAATTGTTGCTAAGAAAAAGTTTTGAAAAGTTTAGGATCTCCTTATTTATCTCCTTCAAGTCACCCAAAGGTAAAACACTGTTTTCAGTTTAATACTGAAAATCTCAAACATATAGAAAAAGCAAATGTGAGAGGTAGAGCTCATTTTTTTTTTTTTTTTTTTTTTAATTGAACTCGGGTCCTTGCACTTGCAAGGCAGGCCACCAAACCGCTGAGCTAAATCCCCGGCCAGAGCTCATTTTTTTTAAATCAGAGTGAGTGGTAATGTAATTATTAAAGAAATGTAAGAAAATGAAAGACCTGGTTTCCATATATATCTTCCTGCTCCTCTAAAAATATTTATTAACAGATTATAACACGATGGAGTAACTTTATTTGCAATTATCAAATAAAAGAAGGTATTAAAGAGGAACTGCATAGCTGTAGTTGGACTCGAGGCACACTTCTCCCTGACATTTTAAGTTTGTGATGGGCACTCAGGTGGCACTGGAAAGGCCTGTGCTTTCTGTCCAGTTTTCAGAGGTAATGTCGATTGCCTGTCAGTTTGGTATTGGGGATCCACCAGCTGTGAGGCTGTTTGAGTTTTCACTAAGTTAAAGACATCAGAAGAATATGTTTAGTTACTTCCTTTGCATTGCATTAAACACTAGAAAGTACTTCTGGTTCTTATCCATGAGAAATGGCAGAGAAGCGCAGGCAGGGACCATCCATACAATCTTTGTATCTGAAGTACTCTGCGGGAAACCCTGCACTTAGTGGATGGACAATAAACAACTGTGAACATCTCTAATCTTTACCACTTCTCCTGGATTCTTAAATTTCCTGTAGCAAGATAAACTCCATACATTTTCAAGATCTCTAATCATGGGCATTTCCTCCACCTGAGTACACTAAGGAGCTAACTTGTATAAGCACTGCTCATTGGATGGAGTTGTTTTTGCAATTTTCTTAACTGGAAGAGACTTAATACACATTTCCCCTTTATGGAAGCTATAAGATTTTCTGGGCAAGTTTTCATTTTAAAAAAAAGTGAGACAACTTGGAAGAACAGAACATTAGTATCACATTAATAAGACTTCCATCTTTAAAAAAAAAAGATGGTATGGTCTTCTTAACGGTGTCCTACATGGGCTGAGACAGCCTGATCAGAACGGAATACTCACCCTTCCACCCTGGAATCTCAAGTGACCACCCACACTGTTCTTTATAATCACTCCTGTGATATAATTAAGTCTCTGGGAAGTATTAAAACTGGTTAAAGAACAATATTATCAGAGGTTACTCCGCTTAATGACTTGTGCGCAATGGAAATTAAGATATTCAGGGACTGACATCCAAAGAGGAAAGTTGTGTTTGACCTCTGTTTGCATTCCCACTATCCAAAGTCTGCATTCTTTTCTAGACCCTATAATTTTGCTTTTGTTCCTTCTACAGTCCATTGCAGCCAAGAGGTCTGTTTTGCCATGGAAGGCTTGTGACACTCTTCCCAGACTGGCTGCAGTGATGGAGCCTCCCAAATGACTGGGCTCCTTGAATATGCTGTCACTAGGCCCGTGGGTCTAATTAGGCTAAGAAACACCTTTAATTAACGTGGGCTAATAGAATCAACTTATGACTCAAGAATCTGATTACGAGTGTAAGTTAAATTTTCTCTTCTCTGTGCTTGACCATTATGATGCTCACAGATGTTCTTCAAATGTAGCTCTTTATGTAAAGTTTTATGTCTTTTTACTACACTCACATAATTCTGTGGAAGATAAGATCCATAGTATTGATGATACTCAACGTAGGAAGGTACAGTATACAGTTTTACTGGCCAACTTTATAAGTAACATGCTCTTAAATGAACACATTTAATTTGTTCTTCCTAAATTTTAAAAATTAGGTCATTCAAAAACTTTCTTGGTACTAAGAGCACCTCACTAAGTATATTTTAATTGCAGGACTTATTAGAAGTACTCTGAGATATGTTCTGTGGAGGACTGGTTACAGGACCCCTTCAGATATCAAAATGTGCAGATGCTCAAGTCCCCTATGAGAATGGTATAGTATTTGTATATACTAGTGATGGCAAACCTTTTAGCGCTTTCAATAATAACAAACAGCCAGCTGCGGCACACAATACTAGTGAGCAAACCTTTTAGCACTTTCAATAATAACAAACAGCCAGCTGCGGCACACGTGCCATAGGTTCACCACCACTGGTATCTATAAATTCTCCTGTGTATTTTATCTCTCTTACTCTACTTATGGTGCCTAACATAATGTAAAGGCTATGTAAATAGTTGTTGTACTATATTGTTTAGGAAATAATGATTAAAAAATGTTTGTACATACTCAGTCCAGACATAATCTTTTCCAAATATTTTTGATCTATGGTTGATTGAAATACAGATGTAGTTGGGCATGGTGGCACATGCCTGTAATCCCAGTACTCGGGAGGCTGAGGCAGGAGGATCACTGTGCGTTCGAGACCAGCCTGGGCTACATAATGAGTTCCAGGTTAGTCTCAACTACATAGTGAGACCCTGTCTCAAAAAAAAAAAAAACCAAAAAAAAAAAAAACCAACCAACCAACCAACCAAACAAACAAAAAGAAATACAGATGTAGAGGATTGATTGTATATCTGTATCTGTAGTCATGTATATACATGAATTTATAAAAATCTATGTATGTATGAAATACTTATGTGTATAGTTCATATATATAAATATAAATATTTCATATATATAAATATGGATATATATATACACACATTTTATATATCATATATTTAAATGTATGTGTGTATATGTTATAAATTGGCTCCATGAACCTTTGAGGGATTTATGGATAGACTTTGAAGAAATCTCAAATTCCCTGAAGTTCTATAGAAAATTGCATTTTTCTATCTGTGTATATTTTGTTGTTGGAAAATAATATATAGCATCCTTTTGTTTCTCAGAGTGGTCTGTGATCACCAACCCAATGCCAAAACTTCAAAAAATAAAGTTTAGGAACCTATGGTCTAGAACTTTACCGTGTAGTACTATAGCTATTGAACACTTGAAATTTAGCAAGTGTATGTGGAGGGATGCTGTAAGTGTAAAATGCACACTGGATTTATAAGAATTAATTTGGAAAAGAGAATATAAACTATACTTTGTGCATTGACTAAACAGTAAGTAATATCTGGGATACATTGGGTTAAATGAAATACATCGTTAGTATTGATTGCACTTGCTTCTTTTTGCTTTTGTTAGTGGGCTACTAGAAAATTTAAAATTACTATGCCCACACTATGTTTCCATTGCATAACTTTTCTGTTTAGGGAATGTTAAAGCTTCATCACATGTAGGTTGCTGATTCAAGGAAGATCCTCCTAGTTTGTAAGGGAAGTTTTAGTAAAAATAGCAGGCTATGTCTACACAAACAGTATAGGTTCAAATTATTTTCATCCAAGTGTTCCGACATCATTTCCTTCAGAATCGTGAGTCTGGAAGGAACAGTCTAGTGTCAGCTCTGAAGCTCAGCCACCCATATTTGCAAGTAATTCACATGGGGCATTTTGATAAGAATCCTGGGACAGTAGTGACTCAAAGCAAACTTCTGCTCTTAGCACATTGATAAAATGGTGCAATAAAAACCAGAAAATATTCGGGCCGGGGATTTAGCTCAGCGGTTCGGTGGCCTGCCTTGCAAGTGCAAGGACCTGAGTTCAATCCCCAGTACCACAAAAAACAAAACAAAACAAAACAAAAAACAGAAAATATTCATGAAGAAATATCTTAAGGGAAATTAGAACTCATTATTAAAAGGATATATATGACATCATGAAATATCAGTCTAGTCACTCTTTTTTACAGATGTGAAAACAGCTTCAAAAAGTTGACCCATTTCCATCTGAGAACACTCTGCTGCCCTTCTCTGTACTTAGAGGCTAGCACACTGCATGGCACAAAGTAGATGTTCAATAAACGTTCATTATCAGATAAGTAACAATTTTCTGATTCCAACACAAGGTTTCTAGCTCAAAGAGTGCCGGATCAATACATCTTTGCTTCTCCCAGTGCCACATGCTGAGAGAGAGGTGCACTTAATGTCTTGATTCTCGCCGTAATCAATGGGACATAAATGTTTTGTCTATCAACAAAAACTTTGTGGGGTTTTTTTGTTTTTTTTTTTTTTTTTTTTTTTTTTTTTTAAAATTTTTTTTTGAAGCAATCTAATGTTAAGTCATGTTTCCTGGTTTCAAAACAGTGCAAGTGCCAGCTTGACTGGGTATCACAGCTAATTGGCAGGAAAGACATTAAATGCAGGAAACAAATGGAACATTTTCGCTCCTCGTGCAAAGTAACGAAGTACAGGGCATTGATAACCCCTGACTTGAGGGGCAGCAACAGCTCCCGCTCCATCCAACTCAAGCGCACCATCGGGGCACTTGCCCTCCGAGGACAGGATTGTCCGGGTGTCAGTTCGCACCACAGCAAGGTGGGCCTCCAGCCTCTCCGGGCCTCACCCGAAGGTCTACGTGGTCCCCAGCCCCTGCCCTTCAACCCCCAAGTAGCGTTTACTCTGATTGACCAGAACAGCTAAGCAAAGTGAAAAGCACTCTCTTCCCAGTCCTGCCCGGGCGCGGCCGCTGCTATTTACCGTCTTGTACCACCAGCTTGCGAAAGCCATGGCGACAACCGACTTGTTCCGAGAAACGCCGTGGAGGACCCGGCGAGGGAGCGTGGTGCTGTGCTCTGGACGCCAGGCCCACCCTGAGCCAAGCTGGGACCTGGCTGGCATCCGGCTGGCATTGAGCGCGGGGTAGGTGGGCGGGCACTGGGGGAGGAGCCTGGGCCCCGCCCTTTCCGGGCCCCGCCCCTCGGGCTCTGGCTCTGGGCAGGGGAGGGAAGAGGTGTTATTTCTGCAGGCGGCCGCGCCCAGCGCGCGGTGGATCCCGCAGTCTCGGGAATCGAACCTCTGCCCTAAGAGGGTGCTGAGTGCACCTTAGTCTCCCTTCGCGCCCACCCTCACGTCCCTCCCGCCTCACTAGCCACCTTGGCACTGCGCGCCCCTTACCCAGCCC